ACAAAAAAGTTATCTGGTTTTTCAGAAGTCCACATTCTCATATTCTGTGAGTTTACGTAACCACTTAAATGAAACCAGGCTTCATCAGAAATAAAGGTGATATTATAAAGTTCACCGTAGTTGTTTAAAAACCATTCACAAAATACAGCCCGTCGCGGAAAATCAACTTCATGAAGTTCTTGCTGACAAGTTAAACGATAGGAGAACAAACGCAAATCTTTTTTTAACACTGTGTGACAGTGATACCGACTGATACTCCCACCATTTGTGATAAAACACGTACAGAAGTTCTTGGCGCATTTTCCATTATTTGTTGGACATTTTCTTTTAATTCTTCAGTCCGCTTTTTAGGTCGGCCGCTTCCTTCTTTTCTTGTTACACTGCCCGTTTCACGAAAAACATTAACACAACGCTGAACTGCACTTTGAAAAATTTTGTACTCAACAACGCCGGGAAATTGATTTTGAAATTCTATGAAACATTCCTCAATAGAATACTTCCATATTCCATCAATCTTGCGTCCATTTCTAAAGTAGGACTCTATGATAAACACTTTTTGTTCTTGAGAAAACACCATTTTAAACGCTTTTTAAAACGAAAATATTCAAATTGATAGCGGCGATATAGCGCTTTGACAGATGACGTTTAAATTCATTTGCTATACGCTACGCCCTACGTCCAAATTTTCAGAACCAACTTGACCACGTTTTTATTTGAACGCTCGTTATTTTAAGAGATTTGTCGGATTATTCAATACTTTTTTGTCAGTACAGTAATTGTTTTTGAGTTACTGTTACTATTTTGTAAATGATTAGTTTGCTGACAACAATTTTTGCCTCAAAAACCAAGTAGAAACTGCCGAAAAGAATTCGTGCTACTATAAAGGTGTTTTTTTTTAATGAATACGAGTCAGTCAGCTTTCTTGACTACCGAACTTGTGACAATTGTAATTTGTATGTAGTTGCATCAAATTTATCATAAATGATGTGCCACCCTAACATTCAGTTCTAGTATACGATATTTAGTCGAATATGAATGAAAATTAAAATGTCATTTAATTTAAATATTTAAAAACTATTCGTGTTTTCACTATCACCCCCATTCAGTATTCATAACTGAAAGTTACCGCCACTGAATTATTTAAAAGTGCGGCATCAAAATTGTTAATGGCCGGCCATATCGCTGATATTGTTCCATTTTGTTCGCCCATTTGAGCAATAACAGTTAAAGTTTGCGGGTTCAGACTCATTATACATTCATGACCATTGGGGGCACTGTTACGCCGACCGCTAAGCTGTTTTCAGCGCTTCCTAATGGGCGAAAAGGTAACTTCAGCAGAACTCCAAGATGTCGCTTTCCTGGAATCTATTTAAATGGTTAAATGGCTTGTTTCATGTACCTATTCTTGTTTTGATCGTCAAAAATTGTACTATTTTTATTATTATTCTTCTAGTGAATTAAAGTTGCTTAATTCCACTAGTGGATAAAGTATAACTTTAAACAGTTCATATGTGTGGATAAAAGTCCGATTATAAGGTGAATGAGGACAAAATTGTTTTAAATGTGTTGTGATTTAACTGATTCTCTCTGTGACAGTAGGGCCCGAACTTTTCATACCCTAAATCCAGTCGCCCGAAATTCCAACCAGTTCGAATAATTCAACTAATAACCGAGTACAAAGCAGCGTCACGTCGTCGCGGAACATTTCGCCAAATTATATCTAAAAGCTTCGGAAGAGTTTCCGAAACGTTTATGAATTCCAACTAGTCGCCCCTCCCCCCCGCTTCGCCCGCCATCCATCGCGGGGTAATTGAGTTGTCGGAAGTTTCGTCATTCCCGCATTGTATTTTGTAATTCAGGAAATTAATTTGCGCTCAATTAGCGGTGTTCAGAACCCACTTTATAGGAGGTGCGAAGCGTCCGCGTCCGTCTCTAGATAAAGGAAGAACTAAGGTTGACCCACTACCGACTGTAATTTGAAATTCCCTCTCCCCAGTATTCGACAAAGAAAGTATGTGGAACATAACCTCACTTAATTTTAACACAAGTCTAGTATTTTCAGTCTTTACAAGGCTGATAAGACATAACCTCACTTAATATTGATGTGTAAAAGCAGAAAATATCCGGATACATTACAGAATAATTGTGTTTCTATTAATTTTTAAAGCTAATTGATCCATATTAATCACGAATATGTTAATCGGGATCGCTAAGTATGAAACAATCGTTATTAATTTCCAGAAACAAACGTAATTTCTCAGATCTCTATGTTAATAGAAAATAGCGTATGCAAATGCAATAAAATGAACGAATTTGCATAAAAGCGATACACGGGAGCTATATTTACACTTACCACAATTTTCTGTAATGTACGATAATTTTATTTAATGATACAGGTTGATATTTATAGATTTTGCAAGGATATGTTTCAACAAAAGGTTTAAAAGCATCAATTTGCTTGAAATTGAGTTAAAAAAATTAAGTAGTAGCAGTAAATATACATACAAGGTGCCTATGTGTTCGAAAATGTAAATGACAGTTGATTTTCATTTAAACTCACAAAAAGAAGCCGAGGCAAAGGATGTGCCGGTAGAAAACTTCCAGACACGTCCCTGTAGCGCAGAGGATAGCGCGTTGGACTTCTAATCCAAAGGTCGTGGGTTCGATCCCCACCAGGGATGGCGGATTAAAGTTACTTTTTTATTTTTAATAAACATGAATTTTTTATCAGCTCTATTGTTTTCTACTTTATTTTAATGATAAATGAAACATTAAAAAAAATTAAATTAAAAACAGAATTTTTTTATTTCTCCCAGTTGAGGGGTTGCATATTTTTTACATACATAGACTTCTGATTGGTTGACTTTATTTGATAAGATTTTTTATAATTAATTTGTTTGAATTAAAATAGATTATTTCTCTATATCAAAACATTTCATAAAACACCGCAAGTATCTTGAAAATTTAACATTTATTCAAAAAGTACTGATACGCAGAATTAGGAGTTTGAGAAATAGATTTAATATCTCAGTATTGCCGACCTAGATAAGGGAGAATTATTTGGGTCAACCTTAGCATTAGAATGTTTGTGGGATGTTTGACATACAAAGGGAATGACGAAATAAAACGATCAATACTTTCAAGGAATGGAAAATAGACTTTACTTGAAATTTTGAAACAAACCAATATTGTTTATAGTCTTTCCGAAGTCAGTTGAAAAAACACCTGGCAGTAAAATTTAATAACTTTCATAGGCGTCCTTAAAGTTTTCTGCTAAAGGTAAAAAATTATAATAATTTGTATATAATGTATAGAAAATTTCTATTATATGTTCATTTGGCCAACAACATATTTTAATTATGTATGTCCTCAAAACAATTTTGTTATACTGGTGGTAAATTTCGTTTTGTTCCGTTTCAAAAGGTCTCCAGAATGCCATGTAATAATATTAATAAACAAAATATCCCTCTTATTTCTCCCTTTCGCGATATTTGAAATATGAATGATTAACAGAAGGTGCCTATAATAAATTAAAATTACCCGAATCACACCAAATTCCGCACTGCTGCACTGCACTGCTGGGCAATTTGTCAACCATTTGTCAACAGCTGAGATTTGTTGTCCAGCGGACCAATGCAGTTGTGTTTGGATTTCCGAACCTGGTACATACTGTCAATCTCTTGGTTCTTCAATTGATATCGGAAAGACTATACTACCTGTATCCAAAAAATAAGGTGAATTACATATTTGATTTGGAAGCATACATAAAGATTTTTTATTTTTTTAAACAAATTCACCTTATTTTTTAAGACAACGGGTTATATCTCTACCTGTGCAATAATATTTTTCTCAGTTCATCCACATTTATTTGTTGGTCTATATCCGTAAAGAACGAAGTGTTTCGCCATTTTCCCTTCAAAACTTCAAATCCGTAATGTTGTTTCTAAACCTTTGTGTGCGTAGCTATAAATATTTATTGATATTTTCTCCCTACCATACATTTGCACTTTATCTCCATATAAAAGAAGATTTACAAACGAGCCGGGCTTATTTACGGACCGAGATACAAATTTCCCTCTGTGCAAAGCCAGCTCCCCTTTTATCTACTCTTACATAAATATTTTCTCAAACACAAAAAGTTTGTTTTGACAGAAAAAAGTCGAGAAGATAAAAAGCTCGCGGTGGATGAAGAGAGACTCGACTTATTTTGTAGATCAAACAGTTATATGTGGCGTATATAAAATTCTCGGGCCTTTTGCCGCAAAAACACTGACAAGTAGTTCTTTAGAGGGATTTGAGTGACATAAAAATGTTAATAGAGGAAATGAATTGGAGAGTACAAACAGAAGAGTAGTATATTTTATTTACTTACCCTAAAATATACACTGATTGTAACTTGTTTCGAAGTAAAGTAACATTATGATGATGATAATTAAATATATGGCGTTTTAATGTTTGTATTTTGTAGATTAAATAATTTCAGTTGTAAAATTATACATTTGCAGGGTAGATGTAACAAGTATGGTATAGTAACGGTTTTAATGACAGATTAAGTATTTTTATATTGATTGTTCAGTATAAAACCTAATATACTCTTTGGTAATAGTACTACGTTGCGACATATTTTCTGTAAGAATATTAATATTTTCATTCGTAATATGACGAATGAAAATCCTGTTAATCTCCACACCGCACTAAGCCTACTAATAACCTAAATTTGCATTGTTTTAATTAACACTATCTCACCATTTTATACCTAGCATCACTGATATACACCATTTTTTATTATCGTTGATGACGTGACGTACCAATGTCAATAGAACGGTGTGACGTCACAACCAATGAGAAACTGTTTCGCTACACATGACAGACTTATGAATTATGCACCAATTTTGACAGATATTATTATATTGTATTAAAATTTTCATGCGAGTTCCCTGTTATTAATTACAAACAAATCAGTTTTCCCGGTGTAACTTACGTGTACCTTTTTATTCCAGACTTTCCGCCATGGCTTCCCGTTTCAGCCCACTGCGATGGCCTACGACCCTGTCCAAAGACTACTGGCGATTGGCTCGAAGTGCGGCTCCCTCAGGATGTATCCTTTTTAGTTTCATTAGCCTGCATATTCATAAGGTAACATGGAGACCGCCGACCGAGACGTATTTTTGTACGTAAGTAAACACTAGAGACGTTTGCGGAAAGTTTTGAATCTATATGCTTTAGCCGAAGGAAATTACATCGAATTTAAATTCAAATTTTATAGTTCTGAAATAGGTTGTGATTGCCAATAGAAAAGCTTCTGTACTAGGTTTTTTCTTTCCATACATTGTATGTACAGGTATTACATTTGGTAGTATAATATTCTCAATTTTATAACAATCTGTTTATCATATTCTTAAGATTCTGTATGTAGAGCGAGCGTATGCACAGGTGCATAGGGTGATCATCAATTAATTCTTGAGATAATAAAAATTCTAGATTATGAATAAAATAATATAACAATTTTCATTTACTTAAGCTTTCGAAGGTTAAAAGTCTTTTAACTGAATTGAGTTTTATGCAACTTCGTTCTAAGTCCATTTTTACATATTTTGCTTCATCAGTTCCAGACAACCGTATTAGACCAAGGCGGATCTGTTTTGAGGTGGATGTGAAAGGGGGCAAGCAAATTTTTTCTGGATTACCTTCACTACAACACATAATAAAAGTGTAGATCCCTAGACCTGGGCGAGGTCCGGAACATTTTCAAAATTGCAAACATGTTTAAAAAATTCTAAAAAATACCTATTTTATCTGAGTTTTTTTACTTATATCTTGGAACCTATGCATTTTGGAAGAATATTGAAGAGGAAAAAAGTCTTAGAATTGAATTTTGCACAATATAGTGTCAGTATGTTTAAATTTATTACCGATGATGCAAAATAGCAATAATTGTAGGAAAAAAGGCAAAATACTCATATTTTTTTTGTATAATTTTGCTCCTACATCCAAGAAGTGGAATATTTCGACAGATCCCCCCTAGTCTATATTCCCTTTTTACTTTTCCAATTCATATGATTTAAGGTGAAGTTATTTACCTTTAAAAAATAATTCATTTAGCAAGTCTCGATCTCGGTCCCGACGGTCGTGGCTTCGGAAAAAAAATATGACCTAGATCGCCATTTATCGCAAGATCGCTCACGTCGCAGCAAAAAGATCGGTTAATTGACCCATCAAGGAGAACCCTTAACAGTTCGTAATAATTGCCGCCGCCCCAGCAGCTGTGTAGTCGCTTAAGGTCCTCCTTATCCCGATCCAGATCCTGATAAAGTCCAGGCCGGATCCATTTCCTTAATAGCCGGGCTTACCTTCCACGAATTTGCTTCCTGAAAGTGGCAGTTCGGGACGGGGTTTCGGTATTTATGCGTAATTTATGGGGTTCATATTAAACGTAGGTGGAAGGGGGTCGTCTAAGAGAATTCTGGATTAGTATCGAACGACTTGGGGATTGGGATGGCTGAGTGATAAGGAGCAATTGATATAGTCCCCAGTACATCGCTCTTGCGTTTTAGTGATACTTGCAAGTGCCAAACTTTGCGAGTGCCTTTTTTGTAACGAGTCCGACAAACTTTTCTCTTCGAAAATCTTCGGCGCCGCCGCTTTTCCGAATGAGCGATTCCGGGTATTGTCGTTCTGAGACTATGCTACAATAGGCCAGGAAAAAGAGCTGGGAAATAGACATTTCGCGACTTTTTGTTTCGGCAAGCTGAATTTATCACTATAGATGTAGTCCGGGCGGTATCTGTTTTAAAAAGTATATACTTGGGTAAAACGCATATGATCGGAGATTTTTGCTTTAACGGCTTATAAATAACATCAGAAATGATAATTTTTCTATGCAAATAAAAAAAAACGTGGGTTTAATTGTTATTGCAAAAAAGTTTATAAAAAAAATGCAAAAAAATAATTTTTTTTCTTGGATTTCTCGTCGACAACTTAGCAACTATTCATTTTACACAAAAATGGAAGAGGAAAAAAGTTTTGTAATTAAATTTTGATCAAGATAGAGTTAGTTGCAATTCGAAAAAACAATTATTGTTATTGCAAAAATCGGAAAAATCATTTAAAAAATTGCAAATATGCTAGTTTATTTGTCAATTTTTTCAGACACTTGAATAATACCTAGGATATTCATACTTTTCGCAATTAAACTTATTAGTGCATAGATTCATCACACCAAATTTCATCCAATTCGGTTCGATAGTTTTTACATAATACCTAATTGTTTAAATTTTTTTTTAATTAAAAAATTTTCAAAATCAAATTTCTAAAAATCTAAAGCCTTTGAATTCTTGAAAATTTCACCACAAAAAGAAGAGCTCTCAAGGTTTAAAATGGTTTTTGAAAAATTCAAATCGGACGATTAGGTGAGCCGTGGTGATTGTTTAAACATTTTCGCAATTTTCACGCTTGTGGTGAAACGCTTTAGATTTTTATACATTTGATTTTGAAAATTTTTTAATATAAGGAAAATAAAAATTTAAACAATTAGGTATTATGTAAAAACTATCGAACTGAATTGGATGAAATTTGGTGTGAAGATTTTATGCACTAATAAGTTTAATTGGGAAAAGTATGAAGATCCTAGGTATTATTCAAGTGTCTGAAAAAAATTGACAAATAAACTAGCATTTTTTACTATTTTTTAAATGATTTTTCCGATTTTTGCATAACAATAATTATTTTTTCGAATTGCAACAAACTCTATCTCGATCTAAATTTAATTACAAAACTTTTTTTCCTCTTCTTAAGATCGGTGCCCACGTGGCTTAGACTTAGAATCATTTATGAAAGTTCTGTAGCCAGTTATTTTAAAGCATTTTTACGCAAAACCGAAGTTTCTTGTTACTGATTCCTCAATACTGAATGATTTAGCCGCAATGGAAGGTGTACAAACAAAGGGCTCTCTCGGTTTCCTCTTCCTTCTTCTAATTAAAGTTAAATATTTAAAATGATTAATATTTGACTAATTTGATTAAGAGTGCTCGCTCGTGTAAGAACCGATCCTGGATTACGGAGCTATTTAAGCCCGTGGGCGGCCTTTCTGAACAAGTGGACGAAAGTGAAAATAAAGGGGAGAACGACGACAAGAGCGGGATGTATTACAAGGGCCCTCTGGAAGTTCTCCTGAAATAAAATATTCATTCGCTACCACGTCGAGCACGTGCGAACAACTAATAGAGGAGACTGGCTAGAATTTAATATTTTCTATCTTTTCAGAATACGTTTTTAATCACGATATAACTTTCTTTGAAGTTTGCTTCTTCCGACCTTTATCTCCAACAAACGCAACACGAGACTAATCTAAGAAATTCGCATCCCCGGGAATATCGCTCAACCCCTATCCCTTTTCCCATCGTATCCTTTACAGAGGGGATAATAATTCCTTTTTTATTCGGTAATCCGTTTCGGCCTTTTCATAAATAACTTATTCCCCGTAAAATCCTCTCCCGATCCATCTCCGCCTGCGAGTAATTTTCAAACTACGTTTTTCTTTCACGGGCCTTGGAAAATTCGTCGGGTTATCTTTAAGCACGTGCTTGGCAAATGAGAGGGAAATATAAAAGGAAACGGGGCAGCTGGGGCTTTTCGATGCTTTCAATTATCGGAATAAAATATATAATAAATCTCCAGCTACGCGTAGCGAGAGTGAATCGGAACTTTTTTCTGATATTAACCAATTTCGGGGCAACGACAAAAGAAATTGATATATTGCGAAATTACTTGTCGATTGCCAGGAAAATAATACACAACGGCTTTTGAAATAACTCATACTAGGGTCTTTTCCTTCAATTAAATTCTATATACCAGTTCAGATTTAAAGCAATCGCTGAAACAGGTCAATTAGTAAATAGAAATTGTCACAAAAACGTATCTACTCTTTATTAAACTTTTTCTACTGAATTTAAAGCTTTTTTTCTCAAAAAAAAACATCGATAAATACATAAAATACTCCAGAGTGCCTTAGGTATAACGTAAATCGTTTAGTTCCAATTCATTCGTTGTTAAATTACAAGTTTGCTTTGAAGTTCCATTTAAATAAGTTTAAATGTTCCTTTTAGCTAAAAATTCAAACAATACCTGAGTCTTTTTAGTTTCCAATAATGTATTGTATTTTGTGTCGCTAATACGCTCACCTGAATGTAAAAGAAGCAAGTATGTCGTAACTGCAATAAACGAAAAACCTTTTAATTACCTAATGGACGAAGTTCCAAACAAGATATTTCCGAAATGAACAGTACACCCTTCAGCTTGTGTGCACATATCCACCCCGAAGTCAGTTTTATGTAAAATTACCTCCCTAAGGCCGTTACAAAGTTATTTGACACTACGAAGTTGCTCCAAGCGAAATACGCTTTTATAAGTAATACGATTCTAGCAGGTACATACATACAAATAAACTACAATTCAACTTTTGACTGGGAATGTTTATTCCGAACTCATACAGGCCAGGGAATTCATCAAAGGGAAACTTTTCCGCTAATCGCAATTTCCACCCTTAACTGACGCGTCGGATATTTTGTTTATGTAGAAAGATACGGTTCTCCAGGGAACTTTGTACTGCCGCTAGATAAGTTTTCTAATATAGAAACGAAAAAATTGCAATGCGAAGTTTGCCGTGAAGTTAAAACGATAATAACCCCGATTTCATTGAAAAAGTATCTTTCGTCTGTAACATAAGAATTTTAACTAGAAGAGCCTTTCAACGAATACTGAAAAAAAAACGGACAGATTGAGGAATTGCATTATCTAGTACCTGCTCTTCTACCCGCAGGGGAAATTGTTGTTTTGGTTTTCAGTTTCCAATCTGGGAGAGGAATAATACTACCAGTATCTAAAACACAGACCAAAGATACGACACTAATAATTAGGCTTAGTGCACGTGCAAAATCTAACAGTAGACGTTAAAAGTCTACTAATAATCACTTCCTAGTCAACTGCCAATTGAAATCTGACGAAACACTGTGAATCTGACTTAAGAAACAACAAAAACAACAGAAAATCGATCACAATTTCCATTTTGGTCCAAAAGGAAATTAGAATCAAATAATTTGT